TAAACCCTTTCCTCCCCAAGTTGGTATTGGTCAGAGTATTTTGTCACAGAAATAAAGAAACAAACTAGGACAACATGCAAGCAAACACTTATATTCAAAATAAATAAATAAATAAATAAATAAATAAATAAATAAATTTACTAAAGAAAAGAGAACCTCTGCCTCAGAGCTGAAAACCTTCCCCTTGCCTGGCTTGGAGAAGCCTTGTAAAAGCTGGAGTGCATTCTTCATTAGGTATTTCTGTGAGTGTCACTGAGGTGCTAAGAGCAGGCACAGGGTAATTGGTTCACAAATGCTTCTCACACAGGGTCTTTTTCTTCATTTCTACTGTACAAAGCATCTTTTCTTTTCCTTCTTTGCAAGGAGGCACGTGCCTGTGAACTTGGTCATCTGGAGAGTGATGCCCATTGCAGAAGGTGTGCGTGCCCTTTGCAGTACAGTCTTCTTACTCATTTCTTAGTCCCAGGCCTTCCTTCTCCTTTTTTACCCCTAACTTCATTCTGCTTGTTTCTCCTTTCTGTCTTATAAAGATTTGGTCACCATAAACCTCTGTATTTCATAGCAACCCCTTTTCTCCACAGACTTGCCTTGAATTCATCTGGGTTAGGTATGTGTATGGATATGCATGTGGGTGTACATTGGTATGGTGTGTGCATGTGTGTATGTAGGGCAGGGGTCAGCCTTGGGTTTCATTCTTCAGGAGTTAGCCATCCTGTGTTCTGAGATAGGGTCTCTTGTTTTCCTTGAGTTCACCAGGCTAGGCTGCCTGGCCAGAACCCAGGGATCTGTCTGCCTCTATCTCCCCAGCACTGGGATTTCAAAGGCTCCACTTTTTTACATGGATTCTGGGAATGGAGCTCAGGTCCTCATGCTTACACATGTTACAAATGGAGCTATGTTCCTAGCCCCTGCCTTGAATTTTTCTTTTTCATGAGAAACTTTTCCCCTGCATTTCTAGAAGCTTTCCATTTAAGGTGGACTATATGTATAGTTTTTCAGATCATTATAGTTTGTTTCTAGTTACTCAAAAATAAGCATGACGCTGTGAATCTGATGGCAAAGCCTAGTGATAGTAGGCCTGCCCTTGCTGGAGAGTCCTGCTTTAATAATGTGAAAATTCATTGAATATTTTTTTTTTTTGTATAAATGACTAGGGCTCATTCATGCCTTCTTTTCTGCTTGTCAAGCCTAGAGTAGAATAAAAACTCCTCTAATGTGTAAAGGGTAACACACCATTTAAAGGAATTGTACTTTTTTGTGTGTTTTAAAAATGTGAATATTTATTGTAAGGGAAATAAAATATATTCAGAAAGACAAACATTTTCTTATGCGAGCTATTTAGATAAACAGATGATTGATAGATGATAGATGTGATAGATAGATGATAGATAGGTAGATAGATAGATTGATAGATGATAGATTTGTAGATGTATGATTAAAAGTATAAAGGGGACCCTTAGGGTCTAAAGAGAAAGAGAGGAAAAAGACATAATGTTGCATGTTTTCTCTCATACTAAATCTAGGGGGGAGAGAGAGAGGGAGAGAGAGAGAGAGAGAGAGAGAGAGAGAGAGAGAGAGAGAAGCAGAACTGGGTCTTTGGGGGAAGCAGAGAACCAGTGAGAAAGAGGAAAGAAGAAGGGGGGGCAATTCAAACAAAAATACAATAATATGTATGTTTGAAAAGGTTATAATAAAACCCATTATTTTATACAATAAAATTAGTTATAAAAGGAAAACATAAAGCCATAGAATCATATGATCAGAGTCCCAGGAGTTTGTAGGACTCTGTTCCCATATGGTCATGCACCTCCTCCCTGGCTCTTACAGTCTTTCCTCCCCCTCTTCTGTGATGGTCCCTAAGCCCTGGGTGGGTGAAGTTTAATATAGGAGTCCTGTCTAAGGACCAGAAGTCTGCAGACTCTTAAGCTCTATGTTTTGGCCATTTGTAACCTTTTATGTCCCTGGCCTTCTGTTGCATGAGGGATCTTCATTAATGGGAATTGAGAGATTGATTAGTGTCATCTTCATTACACCCCTTAGGTGTAGAGGTTGCACTGTAGATGTGTCGCTTAGGCCTGGGCAAGGAATGGTACTTTTTAAAGTTTCAAGCATGGCCTGTTAATGCAAGCCTGCAAATCCCAGCTACTCAGGACTCTAAGTCAAGAGAACTGCAAGTTGAAGGTCTCCCTGGACCATAGAGTGAGTTTAAAGGCAGACTGGGCAACTTAGTGAGAACCTGTCTCAAGTTATGTGGGGGTCGCACCTGTGATCACCCAGCAAGATTGGTTGGGGATGAGGAAGTGCGCCGTCCGCCTGCTCCAGCAGCACCAGGGACAATCAGACGTGCCAGGGAGTCTACTCAAGCAGGAACTCGTTTATTGCAAGTGTTACAGAGCTTATAAAGGCATTGACCGCAATTAGAAATCCCCCTCACTCTGAAGGTGTCCAATCAGTTTAAATGTCAACCAGGCACGCAGGCAGCACTTCATGGATTCCAATAGTGAACATGCGCTGATCACGCGCTCCTCAGGATTGGGGAAACCTCCTCAGCCAATCCGAAGATTTTCAAAATAAGTCAGGCAGCGCCCTGCTCAGTTCCTCTCAGCACCATTTTAGCAAGCCAGGGCCCTTAGGTCCCCATAAAGATAAAGAATATAAAAACTGGACTGGGGACATAGTTCAGTGATAGAGTGCTTCCCCTAGCCTGAGTGAGAAACTAGGTTCAATACCCAGTACCACAAAAATAACAAATTGCAAAACAAGTTTGTATGATTATTAGATATTCCTGTCACTGAAGAAAATACAGAGTGTGGGAATACATAGCAGAGTACTTAAATATATTCATTACTCAGTTTATGTTACTGTAGAAAACTTCTTTTCCTCTTTATGATGAGTTGGGACTGAAATCTATTCAGTGGTAGGTTGGGCAGCAAACTAGCCAATACACAATCAGTCTTTATTTTTCTGCCGTAGTATGACTGTTTAAATGCATCTTCAGAAGGACTGAAGTTGCTGCCTGGACTTCATATGAAAATGGGACTTAGTGATAGTATGAGATCGGGGCTTAGAGAACAGTTAATGGACCAGGATTGGGAGGAGGATTTGTGAATTTAAGCATGTATCATTTGTAATTGACTATTAAAAAGAATCATCCTGCTGGACATAGTGGTACACACCTTTAAAACCAGCACTTGCAAGGCAGTGGCAGGTAGATCTCTGTGAAATAGAGGCCAGCCTGATCTACATAGTGAGTTCCAGCCCAGGCAGAGGTACATAGTGAGACCCTGCCTTTAAAACAAAACCAACCAAACAAACAAAAAACCATGAAGAACAACAACAAAAACCAAACCATCTTGAAATGCTCAAGGAAACAGAAATACTACATATCATCATTAAGAATTTAGTCCAGATAAAATAATATGTTTGCATGTTTGAGAAAGGAAAAAGAAACTGACAGAATTTCTTTCTAAATAAAGCCCCATTGTGGCTCTGAGCTCTGAGCTTTTATTCCTTTGCTCCTCCCCCCCCCTCCTCACCCCCAACCTTATTTTTTTTCCTAATATGTGTCCTCTAGTTCCTGCCTCTCCCTGCCAAATTCTGGAATGATGGGCATGCCCTGTCATGCCTGATTATGGGGAGGTGGGGGTTGTTTTTGATCATCTTTGGTATTTATTTATTTGGCGGGGGAGGCTCCCTGTGTAGCCCAGGCTATCCATGAACTCTAGGTCTTCTTGTTTTTCCCTCCTAAGTGCTATGGTTGCAGCCATGTGCCTCCACACCCACCTGCCCTTACTTCATCGTTGTTTGTATTTCCTCCCAACTGGAAAGTTATACTGGTTTGTGGAGAGCCAGCATGGGTTAAATGCTAACCTCATTTATTAAGCCTAGCTAAAAGCATGCAATCTGAAAGCATGCAATCTGAAATACCATCACTACATTTTTGTTTTAATAATAACACTCAACCAATAACCTTTCCAAAACTAATTTTTAGTTTTGTGGCCAAGTTTTAAGGTATTGCAGAAATAAGTTATTTAATCCTTTTGTTAACAGAAATTTTTAAATTATTTTTTATTGAATTTTTGGGTATTTCATACAGTATATTTTGATCATATTTAGATCCCCTTCCGTATCTGCAACCCCCCCATGCTAGACTCCAACCAAATTTCTGTACACACACATACACACACACACACACACACACACACACACACACACACGTATAAATTAAGACCTATAGAGTCAGGTTTGTGTCCCCAAATATCCTTCAGTATGGGTTTATCTACTGGAGACTGGTTAACGTACTGAGTCTCACCTTTAACTGAGACCGAATCTCTCTTTCCCAGCAGTCATCCGTTGCCAGTAGTTCCTTAGGACTGGGGCTTCTTACCCACTTCCTCATGTCTGTATTGGGATTCTGTCTGGCTTGAACTTATATGGGACTTGTGCATGCTGTCAGCATTGTGAGTTCATATGAGTAACTGCCCAGCTGTCTGAAAAAACTCTTGTTCCCTATGGTCTTCTACCTCCTCTGGCTCTTACAATTTTTCTACCAACTCTTTTTCAATGACCCCTGAGCCTTGAGAAGTAGAAGTATGATATAGGTGTCCTATCAGGAATAATACCCTGCAGCTTCTTGTTCTCTGCACATTGACCAGTTGCAGTTCTCTGTGTTAATCACCATCTGCTTCATAAGGAAGCTTCTCTGTGAGGCTGGTCTGGGAAAGCTCCTGGATCTGGTGTCCACAAGGGTTCTACGAGGGCAGAAACGGCAGGCGTAAGCCAGAAGAAAAAAAAATTAAGTTATAAACTCATCACTGAATATTTTTTATGCGTCCCAATTGCTGTTAATTTTCATGATAATATGCATTATTCCAAAAATGTATAATGTTCCCAGAATGGTTGTTATTTAATAATGTCAATGTAGATCTGCTCAGATTTTGTTGTGGATATTGTTTCTCCTTTAGTTTTAATAAAAATTCTTGATTTTTTCAACCTCATAGACAACATCTGGGGAGGATGTGCGAGACTTCACGAAGGTGCTGAAGAACAAGTTCAGGTCCAAGAAGTATTTTGCCAAACACCCTCGGCTTGGCTACCTGCCAGTCCAGACAGTGCTGGAAGGAGACCACTTAGAGACGTGAGTTCCATTCTAGTATTAAATCCTCTGTAAACACATCTCCTTGTTTTTACTGTAATGAAACAAAAAGAAATCATTTAATACTGAAAAGATTCGTGTATTGGTGAAACATTTCGTTCCATTTATTTTTTAAAATGTTGTATTCCTTACTTTTATTTTGTGTGTGTGAGTGTATTGCCTGCATGTATGTAAGTGTACCTGTGTCGTGCAATGCCTGCAGAGGTCAGAAGAAGGTGTCAAGATTCCCCTGGAACTTGAGTTAGCTGCCATGTCTGTGCTGGGAATAGAACCTGGTCCTCTGCAAGAGCAGCCAGTGCTCTTAACTGCTGAGCCATCTCTCCAGCATTAAACATTTCATTTTAAAAGAATTAAACTTGGATTCAGTCTTCAGCAATGGTGAATTTTTATTACTTATTTTTTTAACAGTGTCACAACCAGAAATCCAGGTGTAACTGGATTGTGTGTCTGAGCTTGTCAGCTATTTACCTGGTCACCTCTTTTCTTCCTTTTAGATATACCTAACTCAAATTGTGGTATTATATATCATTCAGTAACTTTTCTTTTTCCCTCTTTTTGGAGGTTTCAATCTTTTTCTTATAGCATATTATACATATGTGTGTGTGTGTGTGTGTGTGTGTGTGTGTGTGTGTGTGTGTGTGTGTGTGTGTGTTTCTGAGGCATGAACCCAGAGCTTTACAAATGTTAAACAAGTCTTCTACCTTTGGTTTATATCTCTGGTCCAATTTCATATCTTCTTAATATAAATGATTAATAATACTTCATCTCATGCTTCAAATGCAAATCTTCAAAACTCTCCTCAGAATCTCAGGTTTCAGAGTTGGGTGTGGTAGCACATACCATTAATCCCAGCACTCAGGAGGCTGAGTTAGGTGGATCCCTGTGAGATTGAGGCTAGCCTGAGCTACACGGTGAGTTCCAGGTAGTTAATGGAGACCCTATCTCAAAAAAATTAAAACAAAACCAAAAAGTCCTTCATGTTTCTTATCACTCTTCTTAAGGATGAAGGCAACAAAATGAAATAGCTTTACTTATTATATGAAATAGACAAAATTTCTTAGAAGTTCATATTTTGATTTGACCAGCATCTTTTGAAAAGTTTCAAGAGAGCTAAAGTATGAGTTTATAAAGCTAAGAAAAAAAAAGAACTTAGAGTCTGAAATTAAAAAGATATGTTTTAAAGTGAGCCAGAAGAGTTGCATGAGATGCAATTATAAGTCACCAAACAATTATCATTGATATCAAAAAATCAGTAGGATTTTAAACCTTTGAATCATTTTTTAAAAAATATTCACATCAGGGCTGAGTGTGGTGGTACATACCTTTAATCCCTGTACTTGGAGGCAGAAGCAGGCAGAACTCTGTTAGGTTGAGGTCAGGCTGGTCTACGTAGCGAGTTCTAGGCCAGCCAGGGAGACCCTGTCTTTAAAAAATTCTGCATCAGTGTGCCTGCCTTGGCCTTTTTCTTGTGCTTGCATCTGGAGAAATGAAGTTGTATTGTAAATCATCAGCAGCATGGCTCGTACTCAAGAACAATAAAATACTCGTAGGAGAAAGATACCATCTCCTATGACTGTACAGTGTGTACAGCAGGAGATTCTCCAGGTAGAAGTGTAGTAGACATGGAAAGGGTGGGTCAGGATCAGGTTTTGTTGAGTTGAAACTTTTATTTCCAAATTCATACTTCATTCTATTTTGTGTATGAGAAATAATCAGAAAACAGTAATAAGTCCAGTATGTTACAACAGTATCTCCAAGATGTCAAAATGGAAGACAGTTTGATCTGACTTTTTATTCATACCTGTCTCTATCAACCCACATCTTTCCTAGTTTCTCTGTGCATATATTTTTCTCTTATACAGAGGTTCATATATGGGGACTGGAGAGATGGCACAGTGGTTAAGAGCACTGGCTGCTCTTGAAGAAGACCTGGGTTCTCTTCCCAGCACCCACATGGTGGCTAACAACCATCCGTAACTCCAGTTCCAGGAAATCTGTCACCCTCCTCTGGCCTCCACCGGCCTTGCACACGAGTGCACTTACATACATGTAGGCTAAACACTCATACACATAAAATAAAAACAAATAGGTAAAGAGGTTCATATATTACACATGCACAAATTCACTGTTAAGAATCAATTCCACTTTTTTTATAGCTTTTCTTGACATTAGGCTAGCTACAGTTAACATATGCTTTGGTGGGCTGGAGAAATGACTCAGTGGTTAAGAGGACTGGTTGCTCTTACAGAGGACTACAGAGGTCCATGTCAGTTGTCTTCCTTGGTAGCTCTCCACCTTATTTGAGACAGTGTCTGTCACCGAGTCTGCAGCTTGCTGATTCTGCTGGGCTGGCTGGCCGGCCAACAAGCCTCAGGGATCCCCCTGTCTCTGCCTCCCCAGCACTGGGATCAGGGATACTCGGCTTTTATATGGGTGCTGGAGACAGAATTCAGATCCCTCATGCTTGCAAGGCATGTGCTTTATTGCCTGAGCCATCTCCTAAGCCCTCCAGAGTAACTTTTCTGAAGTAAAAATTAACAGAAAAGCATGCAGAGTAATTTTATTCTCTGATTTTGAGATACAGTGCTGAAAAATGCCTCACCTCATTTAACATACACTCATTATTTTCCATGAGAAAGAAACAAGAAAGGAGGGAGCATTTGATTACATCAGATGCAACAGGGTTCCTATTGAACAAGATTTATGAGCTACTACATAGTATGGGCAGGTTTTCTTCTTCAAATCCTAACAGCTCTGTGGATTTGGTGTAGTTCATTTTTCTGCAGAGCCCTTTCTGCTACGGGGTCACTTGTTCCAGAAGAACAATTTATGTGAGTGGGTAGTGAAAAAAAAAGTTTGATTTCATTTATTCTCCTACTTATGGGAGGAGAACATCGGAGGAAAACCATTGAAGTGGTGAAGGTCCTGATGTTATTTATGGAGCTGAGTAGAATTTTCTTTTACTTCTTTCTCTTTCATGCTTGCAAATGTAGTGTTTTATCTTCTGACCAGTAATTATCCATGCATACATGAAAGAAATTTATGAGAAAAAGTTATTACTAAAAGGGAAAAACATATCCATGCTAAGGTTTATTTGGTTAATTTTATAAATCTTATGCAAAATTTTTCAAAACTGAAATAAATGAGGAAAGCTAAAGAGTGTATTATTCATCATAAAACTGAGACATAAGCTAAGGTAATTACAAAAGTAATTTTAAGAGTTCTGAGAGATTATTATTGACTATAAAGTTAGGCTGCTTTCCCTAAATGTAGAAAAAAGAAAAGTATGGTAGACATTGGCCCAGGTGCCTTAATGAATTTCATCACTCTGAAAATTTTACCATGGCAAGAACTAGCTGATGCAGGTGTAATTTTGGGAGTAGATGGACTGAGTACATGGACTGGGAGGAACAGATAGCTGACTGAGCCCCTAGTTGTGTGCTGAGTCAGAGGAAGAAAGGGAGAGTTTCTGGCCAAATGAGGCATTTTCAAAGGCATGGAGGGACAAGCTCAGGGGAAAACCATATGCAAAGTGAGGCCTGAGAGTTGCAAGAACCAGAAGAAGAGCCATAATAAAGGGCCTCCTATACCACACCTGAGTGTGCAGAGTATCCTGGGAATATACGGGGCCTTTCAGAGTTTATATGCAGTGTTAAGGAGAAAAGGCTGGTGGTTGGTTCAGGAAAGGAGCTGACATAAAATTACCCTTCAGAAATGAGCTCTATTTAGGAGAGGACTTCATAGCCATTGGGGCCATGGCCGGGCCTTGAGATGAGAGAATTGTGGGGACAGTGCAACATACTAGAGGTAACAATAGGGATCCTGAGGTGGGAGAGCTTTCTAGACACATTAAGAAAGTTAGCTCAAGGTAAAAGGGTAGAAGAGATCCCTGTGGGCAGCATCTGGAGACAGTAGCTGGGAGGACCTGGAGATGGAGAGAACACAGCCAACCAGAGAGGAAATCTTGATTTCCCCAGGGTAGGGGGCCTGCCTGGAGCTGAAAGAAGAGCTTTTGTTTACACATTCCTGTTGTACCCTAGGCCCAAGGCAGCAGGGGGCTGTCAATCCTTGTCTCTAGATCCAGACCTGAGGGGAGAAGAAACTGGCCTTAAAACAGTAGGCCCAGGATCCCAATTTGCTGCTTCAGGACAAATGGATTAAAGAAATAAAAGACCAGAAATAGGAGAAGATTTCTGGGAATTTAAGCCACTAAAAGGGTCACTAAATTCTTTGAAGTCTGTGTTAGATTTCATAGAGTGCTACATACATTTAGTAGAGTATGATTCCTTGCTTATCAGTGTGAGATTAATCGAAACACCCTGCTGAGCCACCAGATTAAAAACCAAGGAGAGGCCACATTACACCAGAGCTAACACACAGAATGTTGAGAGAGAATGGTGGTGTTATATATTTTTACCTTTTTTTTGTTTGTTTTTTTTTGACATAGGGTCTCTCTATAATCCCAACTGGCCTGGAACTCACAGAGATCCAGAGGCCTCTGCCTCCCAACTGCTGGAATTAAAGGCGTGCATACCACGCTCAGCTGGTGGTGTTACTTTTATTTACTTATTTACTTACCTACATGTCCGTGCTGGGAACTGTGCCTAGGCAAGCGCTCTATCACTGAGCTCAACCCCCTTTAATCCTAGGCTCTAAGTATTCAATACTTTGTTTTTCCTTCCTCCAGAATTGAATGTGAACACTTAATTTTTTTCTACAAATCAGAATCCTCCAAAGGGGCGGCGGCGGGGGACAAATGAACAAACAAAAACCATTAAAGTTTGGTTTTATATCTCTTCTTAGAAATTCTACATTTTTTAAAAGAAACTCTTCAGCCCCATTTTCCAACCCTGACATCCTTATCTTAGTTCATAAATCATTTTTCTGCTAACAATTAACTGAACAAAAAAAAAATCACTCAAGCAGTTTCACAAAACTTTTCCAAGGTCTGTTAAGACTGAAAAAATACACGTTTTTTCTTCTGTGGAAAGCTCATATCAAGTGTTGTGGTGCATTGAAATGCTCAGATAACCTCTTAAGCCCTTACTGTTTTTAGGGCGTGTAAGGCAATGTATCTGTTGACTTTCTGCATCCCTTCCTTAGGGCCAGTGAGGAGAGTGGTAGATGGCAGGTTTGGAATCACACCGTGTTGCTATATTGTTCCAGTGTCTATTTTATACATGTGCAACTAAATCTAATCACAGACTAGGCATTCTGACACACTGAATGGATAGATGCCTAGTTTTGAAAGTAGGTCTATAGACGTTTAGCTTCTCACCCAATGCGATGACCTTCCGTCTCTTTTTAGTTTTTTCCATGCACACATCACGCGCTTCACAGCAGTAGATAATGAGATCATTAACTTTTTCTCAAGTACTCACATATAATAGAAAAGGAGACCGGGCAAGTCTGGAATAATTTTGCTTGAATCAGCATTAGCTTTTGCAAGAAACTATATAATTAAATAGAGAAGTAATTTTTTTCATACTTTTAAATTTCTACATTCATCAAGTAATTAATTTATCATTACCTCCCCCCATAAGTTAGGGTTTTTAAATGTATTTTAATTGGAATGAGTTGTTTTCAAAGGCATTTCTTGGAGAAATCAGAGTTTCCAGAAGGTTTCAAGGGTTGGGGAGATCCCTGTGACAATCCAGTCTCAGACCTGAGCCCTTGATTCAAGCAGAACATGGTTTCCTGTGTAGTTTCCTAGAGTGAATTTTGGGTAAAATTATTCTTGAAGGAGGTCTATCTTGTCCTAGAGAAGTTGCTTTCAGTGTATTGGTGACGAGGTACTGAGCAGTGTGGGAAAGCATGACGGCCATGACTCTTTTCAGTGCATCTGAAGTTAAGACACTTGGTATATACCTAATTTGAACTTTTATATGTATGAACAATCAGAAGATTCTTTTGACTTAGCTTCTGAAATTAATAGTCTAGTATTATGTGTATAACCTTTCTGATAAAGTTTCTTCTCTGGGAAGAACAAAAAATATAATTATATCTCCCCTTAGAATATTCTAGGAAACTATCTTTAAAAATTATCCTATAATTTTGAGCAATTTTAGCACATTCTCTGGGTTTTTCACTACGACTGCTCTAAAGTACGGTTACTATCTTGAAACACATATCTTGCGAGACCTGTGTAAAGGTCCCAAAGGGTCCTATAGACACTTGAATACACAGTATGCACCTTCTTTAGAATAAACTGTGGCTTTTGTTGCTCTTAATTCCCCCTATGGTGAATGTCAAGGTTGCCAAATGTGAGTAGAAGACCACTGAGAAGCCCCCTTTTCTTGCTTTGGTCTAAAATGGCTTTAAATATTTGTTGTGTGACTTTTGTCTCCCTCCTCTCACTACAGTCCTATCACGCTCATCAGTATGTGGCCAGAGCACTATGAGTGAGTATTCGCAGCCCACCTGCAGAGGAGGGATGTTCTGATCAGGTGTATTAGCACGGGGGTGATTTCTAAACTGTTGTCTAAAGTACTACTTCTGCATCTTGGGTAACAATGCTGGTGGTTTGTTTGCATGGCAGATTTGCAACTTAACTAATCTTCTAACTAGTAACGTCTATCAATATTCAAACATAAAGCTATTGCTTTGATTTTCTCTTTACAGCCCTTCACAGTCTCCTCAGCTGTTTCATGATGACACCCACTCAAGAATAGAGCAGTATGCCACACGGTAAGAAACTTATAAAACCCCCTCCATGCCACTCAGAGTGGCCCAGCATCTGTGCCACTCCAAATCTACTCACATACGTTGATGCAGGAATATATTTTGGAGCACTCATGATTCTGTTAGAAGTAGAACCTGGGTCTTCATCTTTTCCTGGTGCTATTTGCACTTTACCAAACACCTGCTGTATGTTCTCTGAAGAGTGGATCTCAATAGGCTGTGATTGCTGAGCTCATGAGACTCCAAGCACAGTGTAGGCAGGATTTAAGTAATGTAACCTCATTTCCGAGAATGAAAGTAGGGATTGAAAATATGCTCTGGAGATGTGCACGTATGAATTACAATATGTAATTAAACTTATGCTAATGTTTGATGATAAGTGTTTGTTTTAGAATCTCTGAACAATGTGAAATATAAGCCTGTTGGTGGTATGCACAAACTTTCAGTGAAGTGCTTAATACCGGCCTTGGTGATGCTAGAAGCCAGCTGTGTCTAAAATCCCTAGTTTAAGAACCATAAAAGTAGTAACATTTGAATGGAATTGAGACTAAGTAGAATTTTTTGAAAAAGGCATGCCTGGGCTGATGGAAAACACCCTTGAAAGCCCTGAGCTGGGAGTGTTGGGAGTGTGGCTTGTTTACGGAGCCATAGGAGGGAAAGGGAAGGAGTTGGATGAACCTGCAGACAGAAGCCACAACCTAACATGGGGTCCATTTGCCCAGGAGCTGGTAAAGAGAAGTCATGGAGGGTCTTCAGAATGAGAGGAGCATTATTTATGTGAGAGGTCGCTTCACTTCCATGAATATCAGTTAGGAGGCCTGGGAGCTCCGTGAGAAAACTCCACAGCATGGTATAAGATGGCAGCCACAGCCCCTACGGGAGTGGTGATAGCAGTGCAGCTCACCAGTAGACCGGTTTCAATTTTACCATCTTATGGGAAGTTTGGACCTTTCTCTCCATTGTCAGAATTGATGAGCATTTAAAAATGAGCAAGAATCTGCTTCCGGATGGCCCTGTCCCCTGCAGCCCAATAATCTCGCTCCTCATTTTAATTTTTCAGACTGGCCCAAATGGAAAGGACGAACGGGTCTTTCTTGACTGACAGCAGCTCCACAACAGGAAGTGTGTAAGTACATCCTGCAGTGAGTCTGCCTGGGAAGACTGCTCCCTTATGTTACGGTTTCAGAGGACTGTCACCTCTGAGTCATGATCCCAGTCAAAATTGACACGTGGTTCCAAAAAATCTACACAGATTTTATGTTTTCAGGTCACGGTGACTTAGTTTTTACAAGCTAATGAAAAGTGCCACAATGCTCAGCCAATCTGCTTTAAAATAATCAGATTGCCTTATTAATAACATAGTCATGATAATTTCTGTTTTGTATGTGTGGTATACATTCATATGTGTGTGTGGAGGCCAGGAGTTAAGATCAGGTGTCTTTCTCGATTGCTCTTTCCACTTTTGTTTTGCCTTGTTCTTTCTGTTTGTTTTTGTTTGGTTGGATGTGTGTGTGAGGGGGGGTGGTTGTTGTTTTGTTTTGTTTTGTTTTGGACAATGTCTGCTGTGCCCCCAGCTGACCTGGAACTTGCTGTGTTAGACCAGGCTTGCAGAACCTGACAGAGATCTGGCTGCCTTTGCATCCCGAGTACTAGGATCAAAGGCGTGTGCCACCGTGCCCATCTCCACTTTATTTTTTGAGGCATGGTGTCACACTGAACCTGGACCTTGTTGATTCTGCTAGGCTGGCTAGCCAATCAGCTCCAAGATTTGCCTCTCTCTGCTCTTCTCCCCTCCCCCAGCACTGGGGTTATAAACACGTGCCACCACACATGCCTAGCTCTTATGTGGGTGCTCTGGATCTAAACTGAAGTCCTCACACTTAGGTATCAAGCACTTTGGCAAATGGCCATCTCATCAGCCATAATATTCATATTTCTTATTAGTTTTTTTTTTTTTAATGTGTGTGCATGTATTGCCTGCACGTAGGTAAGTGCACTCATGTCATGCAATGCTCACGGAGGTCAGAAGAGGCTGTTGGATCCCCTGGGACTGGCATTATGGACAGTTGTCAGATGCCATATGGGTGCTGGGATCAAACCCTGGTCTTCTGCAAGAACAACCAATATTCTTAACCTCTGAGCCATCACTCCAGCCCCATTTCTTAGTTTTACAAATGGACTTGTATAGGCTCCACGCACTTTCTGCAAAACCCTCTTTCTTCCACTTGCTAATGTTTTCTCCATACTGTCTGCATTTAGCAATGCTGGCCGGCACACTGGGCATAGCCTCCCTGCCCTTCAGTGAGAAGTCACTCCCTTGCCAGTATTTTATTTTATTAGGAACTAGGAAAAGCCTCATTGACTTAAGAATATCTTTAAAAAAGCATTTTAGCGATACATGTTATGCCTGCCTTCCCCATCTGTGTCCAGCTTGGTTGTCGAATGCTCTTACCAAGTATTTTTCTCTATGATGACCCCACTGTGATAGCTCTTCTTTCCTTTGGAATGTTTTTTGGCTTCACTTTTCATGCTAATTTTGAGGTGATGTGTAAAAGGCTTCAGTGGTCTCAAGTTTTATGTGACTTGCAGGCTCTTTGTGGTTTGGGTCTGGCAGAGAGCTGTAAGCGAGACAGAGCAGTTGTAGGACATAGTGTGTACGTGGCTTTCACTAACAAAGATAGGAGAAAAACAAGTAAAATTCCTTAAGCACTCTGATAAAATATCTCCGTTTCACTATTTTTTTAATCTGTTTTTTTTAGTTTAAAAATGTATTTAATATCTACATAATTAGTAGAAGCATTTCGTTACAACAACATTGACATAGTCAATAAGAGATTACAAAGATGCATATCTTTCAAAATTGGCTGTAATTTTTAGGTTCACAGTGTTGAATTAATATACTTATTCATTATTGTTCTCAGTATAAACTCTATAACACATAGAATTGAATGAGGTTTTAACCTTTACAAAAGATCCCCATTTCATTTTAAAATATACTGTTTCATATAGAAAAACTCACTTTTTTAATTTAATAACCACATACTTAGAAGAAGCATTTCATTACAACAGCATTGACATATTCAATAACAATTTCCTGAGCTAAGATGCATCTTTTTCAAAATTGGCTGTAAATTTTTAGTTTTACAGTTGACTTGTTACAGTTATACAATATTGTACTCAGTATAAAACCTATAAGAAATAAAATC